TATTCCTTTCTCTACCTCTCAAGTGTCTACTTTATAATGGTATGCCAGGGAAGGAACATTCTTTTTTCATCCTGTTTCCATTTCACCCAGGAGTTTTAATTATAGGGTGAACACACACAGAATTAGAGTTTTCCCCTTGTTGTTCCAGCATAATTAATAATTCAGTTTCCTTTCACTCTCAAAAGTGCCCTGGTTTGAAAAATTACATAGTTACCCTATCTAGATTTATCTATCAATAAATCTCAGGCCATCCAAATTGATGTATCCCTGCCTAAAGATGAAAGGTACACAATCAAATCAAAACCCACCACTAACAAATCTACTGAAACAGTAGAGAAAACTGTTTCACTGGGTTCCTGAGGCTATAAAAGCTGACTACCTTATCTTTCAAAGCAGCTGGTGAGTTTGAGCTGAAGCCCAATGATTAACCCACTGCACTTAACCCAGAGTTCCTTTAGGAAGGCTTAGAAAGTGCTGTTAAAATATCACTTCATCTTAATCACTGTTGTTGTTGTTAAGTACTGTGGAGTTGGTTCCGACTCATAGTGACCCTGCACAGGGTTTCCAAGGCTATAAATATTTACAGAGCAGAACACCTCATCGTTCTCCCGCAGAACCACTGGTAGTTTCAAACTGCTGACCTTCAGGGTAGCAGCCCTATTAGTAACCACTACTCTACCAGAGCTCCTTATTACTTATAATTACTGTGGGCACCCCTTATCTCTGTCATATTAAATCTATCTCCTTGGCTTCTTTGTCACTTGACATGTTCTCCTTGTTCTGGGAACCTAAATTCCAAGATTATCTTTCCAGTCTTTATCTGATACTTAACACCAATCCACTGCTTGCTCTGTCTTTCAAAGTCCCAATCCATTTGTTTACAATCAAAGCTTTTCTGAACTGATTTTTGTCTTTGCTTCCCAATGCTATACAGATTATTTACTATTACCAAATGCTGTTGGTCTCACCTTATCCAAACACTCAATATCCAAAAATATTTTACAGTGAAACAAAGACTGACTGACAACCCTAGTCACATGCTCTGCCAAAAGAAAAGAAAATCATATGGTTATTTCTCGCAGAAACAAAAACCATCTTTCTTAAAAAAAAAAAACAATCAGAACATGCTGGTTTATAGCAACTATTTATAGAAATACAAAAAGGAATAAAACATGTAATTAGCCTCAGTATTTTAGAAGCGGAGGAGGCAGGTAGCCACAATACCAACAATAAGTCACATGACCTCTACCAGCTGTTGCTTTTTTTGTGCTACATGGTTGCTGTAGTTGTTAAGAGCCGTGGAATTGCTTCTGACTGTTAGCGACCCTGTATAGGGTTTCCAAGGAGTAGCTGGTGAGCGTGAACAACTGACTTTGTGGTTCAAATCAACTTTGCAGTCCAGCTCATTAACACGCAGTGCCTTTATTTATTTATTTAACCCTCATGACAACAGGATGGTTTATTATTAAGCTTCACTTTACTAATGGGGAAAAACAGATCTATTCTGTGATCACAACAACTTATGAATATCAGAGAAGACATGGGAACCTGGATTTATCTTATGTTCTTTATACACCATGCTGCCTCAGTAATCAACATTGGGGCTTTGCTTGATAGTTTTGAAAAGGAAATTATGATTTTATAAATACACAGTACCTGAGTTCATCATTCATTCTGAGTAAGATATGCACGTGCAGTCCTGAACCAGGTGTGAGAAGGCAATGTACTGGTTACAGTTTAGTTCTTTATGATTAGGGTTTACTCTCAAATTCTCAGTTTCTTCAGCCCTTCTAATTTTAGCTCCATGAGTTTCTTACTAATCTCAAGTGCGTTTCAACATAGAACAGTATTCAAGATTAACTTAAAAAAACCTTAAGTACTTTTCTATATTACACACTGCAGGAAGCATCAACAGAAGATGAAAGGAATATAGATAGAGTCATGTACCAAAAAGAATTGATCAATGTTCAACCAACCAAGAAATGATGCTCCTGAAGAAGTCCAAGCAGCACTGAAGACTGTGAAAACAGGTGAAATAATAATAATAATAATAATAATAATAATAAACAGCTGATGGAATACCAATTGAGATGTAGCATAGTGGTGGTTATGAATCGGGTGTGAACCTCAAACAAGGTCAGCAGTTCAAAACTACCAGCTGGCTCCATGGGAGAAAGATGAGGCTTTCTGCTCCTGTAAAGATTTACAGCCTCAGAAACCCTATACAGGGTCGCTATGAGTCAGAACCGACTCCACGGCACATAACAACAACAACAATATGTGCAAGGTCAGCAGTTCGAAACTACCAGCTGCTCCGTGGGAGAAAGATGAGGCTTTTTGCTCCTGTAAAGATTTACAGCCTCAAAAACCCTGTACAGGGTCTCTATGAGTCGGAACTGACTCCAAGGCACACAGCCGTCACCACCAACTGACTGGAAGAGATTCATATTTGTGACCATTCTAAAAAAAGGTGATCCAACAGAATGTGGAAATTATTAATCAACATCATTAATATTACACACAAATAAAATTTTGTTGAAGATAATTCAAAAGTGATTGCAGTAATACATGAATACGGAACTGCCAGAAATTCAAGTCAAACTTACAAAAGGATGTGAAACTAGGGATATTATTGCTGATATCAGATGAAAGCAGAGAATATCAGAAAGATATTTATCAGTGTTTTATTGACTATGCAAAGGCATTCAACTATGTGGGTAATAACAAATTATGGATAACACTGAGAAGAGCAGGAATCCCAGAACCCTTAATTGTGCTCATGCAGAACCTGTACAAAGAGAAAGAGGAAGTCATTCAAACAGAACAAGGGATACTACATAGTTTAAAATCAAGAAAGGTGTGTGTCAGTGTTGTACTTATTCAAATGTATGTTGAGCAAGTAATCTGAGAAACCACACTATATGAAGAAGAATGTAGTATCAGGATTGGCAGAAGGCTCATTAATAATCTCTGCTTTCAAAATATCAAAAATAAATACATCAAGCAGATGATACAACCTTACTTGCTAAAAGCAAAGAGAAACTGAATATCCTACTGATGAAGACAAAAGACAACAGCCTCCAATATGGATTATACCTCAACATAAAAAAAAACAAAACCCCTCTTAACTGGACCCATAAGCAGTATCATGATATACAGAGAAAAGACTGATGTTGATACTGATTTCATTTTACTCAGATTCACAATCAATGCTCATAGAAGCAGCACTCAAGATATCAAACAACACATTGTATTGGGCCATCTGCTACAACAGACCTCTTAAAAGTGTTAAAAAAGCAAAGATATGACTTTGAGAACTGAGGTGCACTTTGACCCATGCTATATTTTCAATCACCTCATATGCATGCAAAAGTTGGATAATGAACAAGACTGAAGAACTGATGCCTTTAACTATAGTGCTGGCAAAGAATACTGAACATACCATGGAATGCCAGAAGAATTAATTGTCTGAGAGGAAAGCACATCTAGAACCAACTTAGCCAGAATAGCAAGACTTCGGCTCACATACTTGGGGCACATTATCAGGAGGGATCTGTCTCTGTGGAAGGACATCATGCTTAGTAAAGCAGAGGATCAGAGAAAAAGAGGAAGACGTTCAACAAAATTGACTGACACAGTGGCTGCAACAATGGGCTCAAACATAAGAAAGACGTGAAGATGGCAGCATTTCATTCCATTGTATATCCGGTCAGTAAGAGTCATAACTACTTAACCCTCTGAAAATCAAACTTTAATTTATAGAACGCTCTGAACTAAGAAGTAGCAGAATGAGGCTGAATAAGCCAGTTTACTCGAATGCAGTTTCAAGGGTTAAGAGTCATTAAAAAAAAAACCATTATCATTCTTTTCACTATTACTGTTAAGTGTCATCAAGTTGGTTCTAACTCACAGCAATCCTGTATAGGGTTTTTAACGAGCAGCTGGTAGGTGTGAACTGCCAACCTTGAAGACAGCAGTCCAATGCTTATCCTACAGCGCCATATCAGGACCCCATTCCTTCCACTGCAGCAGCAACAATAACAACAAAACTCATTGCCAGCACACTCATTCCAATCCATAGCGACCCTATACAGGAGTTTCTAATGCTGTAAATCTTTACAGGAGCAGAAAAATCTCATCTTTCTTCTGCGGAGTGGCTGGTGGATTTGAACTGTCAACCTTGTAGTTAACAATCCAGTATTATTCTATAGTACCACCAGGGATCCTTTTTTTCCACAGCAAAGGGTTAACCAAATATTCCTGTTATTCCTTTTCTATATAAAAAATTGTTAAAGTGTGCTTTATTAAAAGAAGCTTAAGAAAGATAAAGGGATGACCCCTATCACTACCCCAGCTGAAGAGTCTCAGCTTAGAAGGCAAGAGGAAGAAACCTGTTGTAGTAGTCTAAATAAGAGCAGTGGTTATTTATGGTAAGGATACAAGGAATAAGAGGGTTCAAGGCAAAGGTCAGATATGCTGGGATGATGAATTTCGCTATATGACTTAAAATTTTTTTAACTTTTTAATGATGTGAATGTAATCAACACTAACCTACTTATTAGCTAATCTCCTTATACAACTTTATTTTATAATTGGATCAAAAGGCCAAGTGACTAATAAAAACTAAACAAGTTCTTCCCTTTTCATAATGTTTACCTCTCACACCATGACTTTTCTCTACAAAATCCATCAAATTTTTAAGATAAAATCTTTTGATTGTAAAGCAGGACTGAAGTAAAACCTTAGAGGCTCTAGACTAGGGGAACAGTGGAAATGAGAATACCACTGTAATTTATCTATTTGTTGAAATCCAAGTGAAAAAAAGTTCATGTAAAAATGGAATTTTTTTCATGAACATTTTCAAGTCCTGTTATACATGTACCTTTTTTGTAACTTAGATTTCAACAAACAAATGGCTGTGGTATTTTCCATGAATTTTTTGAAACTCCCTCAGATGTCACACATTAATGCTAATTTCAATACCAGTTGAGCGTACCTACCTTTAGGAAGAGTAGGTTTAACTGCCATTCTGCCAACCAGGCATTTTTTCAGCATGGATTCATAATTGACCCAACGATGAACCTGGCATGGGAGAGAATACAGAAAAGCAACATGTACCTAACTCCACAGGACATTCTAAATTTATTATAAACAAAACTAACCATTCTTACACTGTTCTGAAAATCAATGGTCACTGAATAGATTCGGACTCCCAGGGGCCCCATGTGTGTCAGAGCAGAACTGTCATTCAGAGGATTCTCGATTGCCAGGCCTTTCTTCTAAGGTACCTCTGGTAGACTCAAACCTTATGAGTAGTGAGTGGCAGAACACTATGACCATTTACACCACCCATGCAGGGAGATTCATTTAGCCAGCAGAGAAGTGAAAGAAAGGCATTATAGGTGAGGATTCTTTAAGAATAGTGTTCTCCATCTAAGTAACTCTGGGTGTATCCATGATACCTTTTCAGGTTTCCAAAATAGCTTCATAATAATACTAAGGTACTGTTTGTCCTTTTTACTGTGTTTTTGTTATTTGCACTTATGTTACAAAAGCAATGGTGAGTAAAGCTGTTGTTGTCTTGGCATGATTAAGGCCCCCGAGCTGTACTGGTGATCACTGTGTTCTTTACCACCATACACCCACAGAGGGCAACACATGAAAAAGCCAGCTTCACTAAAGACTATTTCTCATGAAGCAATAAAAATGATTAAATTTTCTTAAATCTGAACTTGTATCTTTTTCAATATTCTGTGTGACAAAATGGGAAACTCCCAAAACATTTATGGATGAAATATGGTGGTCTCAAGGAAAAAAATATAAAAAACTGTTTGCTTTGGGTATTGAGCTGCGAATGTTTTTCATGAAAGGCCATTTTTACATGAAAGAACGAATGATGAAGTTGTTATTGAGACCTGGGTATTTGACAGACAGAGTCTTGGAACTTAACAGTGAGCCTGTTACTTCAAGGATGACAGCTGACAGTACTTGTTGACAAACACTACTGATGGGAATTAAATTCAAAGTGCCTTTCTGGAGGGCACTTTGTCAATATACGTTATAAGTCTTAAAATAATACAGTTCTTTCACTCTGTGTTTTAGGGGCTTATCTGAGAAAATATCACATATACACAAGGATGTAGGCATCAGGATACTCACCAGAGTACTACTTATATTAACAAAACATTGGAAACAACCCAAATGTTCAAAAGTAAATTACCAGTAAAAAAAAAAACAAAAAAAAACACACACAATGAAATATTCAATGGAATACAATAACGAAAATTGTTGTTGTTAGGTGCCATTAAGTCGGTACCGACTCATAGTGACTCATGCACAGCAGAACGAAACACTGTCCGGTCCTGGGCCAACCTCATTACTGTTGCCATGCTTGAGTCCATTGATGTTGCCACTTGGCCAATCCATCTCATTGGGGGTCTTCCTCTTTTTCTCTGACCCTCCAAATACTATGTGATATCCCAATATCCATGGTCTATTCCTGAGTAAATAAGTATATGTTGTTGTTGTTAAGTGCTGTCAAGCGACCCATGGCAACCCTGTATAGGGTTTCCAAGGAGCAGCTGGTGAACTTGAACCACCGACCTTGCAGTTCAAACGGCTTTGCATTCTGATGCATTAGCCTACAGCGCCACACCAGTACTTTTCACCAGACCCATGTAGACAAGATGAAAACTATTCAATGGGGACTCTATCTTGCCCCACACACTCTTAAACTCAACTCCCTCTTGAAAACTTGTAAGCCAGTCACTTCGTGCCTTTATTGCCCCCTCATTTTAGGTCACCAATGTCTAAGTTGTCCGTCCCTGTTAACCCTGTTACATTATTGCACGAAGTGACTGGCTTACAAGTTTTCAACAGGGAGTTGAGTTTAAGAGTGTGTGGGGCAAGGTAGAGTCCCCACTGAATAGTTTTCATCTTGTCTAGATGGGTCTGGTGAAAAGAGATGGGGATAAGATTCTTATGATTCAATAGTGAGTAATTATTATCATAACTAATTACAATGGTCACAACTGTAAAGGTAGAAGTTTTGTAACAAAAAGGGGGGAGCAGTTAATCTTAAAGGAGCTCTGATAGAGTAGTGTTTACGAATTTGGCTGCTAATTTCAAGGTCAGCATTTCTAAACTAACAGTGGTTCCGTGGGAGAAAGATGAGGCTTTCTGCTCCTGTAAAGATTTATAGCATCGGAAAACCTATGGAGGGTCGCTGTTAGTCGGAACCAACTCCACGGCACATAACCACCACCACCACCACCATCACCAGTTAATCTTACATTCCAAGACCATCAAGGGAGAAGAGCACGAGAGGAATGTGGGACCCTATCCAGAAAAGCAGCAACACCAGAGATGGGGGCAAAGATGAGGACATGGAGAGACAGAGTAGCTGAGGACTCTAGACTCATGGAAAGAGAGGGACTGAATGCTGGTAGCCAGGAGCAGGCTTGCAGAATGTGCCCTTGGGTTATTTAAATACTGTTGAATGATGATACATGGAGGGGATTGTAATCATTGTAATGAAACAATGAGTGCAAAACTGATGTTCTCCCATGTAAACTATCACTTAATTCACAATAAAAACTTTTAAAAAATGTATATGTACATGTAATAACTATTCATTTACTAATATAAATTAGTATTTTATTTAATAAATATTTATGGAGCATCCACTAATGTGTAAAGCATTATGTTTGGAACAATGGGATTAGACAGAATTTAAACAGCTAAGTGAGGGAAAAAGATATTCAAGGAGGCAAAGGTACAAAGTTTTTTAATCATGAGACTGATGAAAATGCCAGGCACTTTCAGTCTATTCAAAGCAAGAAGATGTAAGTAGAGCATATTACCCGGATACAGTCTTTTTGACCTTCAAATGCCAGCTAAAGAGTCCAAGTTTCTTTCAATATCTATGAGAGAAATATGAGGGGGCTTCAAAAAGTTCATGGAAAAATTCCGTGATCTTTTCATTCCATTTTACCATAAACCTTTTGAAGTCTCTTTTAAAACAACGTGCTTTATGAAAACAAATCAAGCTACCGTATATTTTCCAAATTGGAACTGAAGGTAAAACTGTCATGACAGATTTAAATACTGGGGCTAGACATGATGACAGCCTGAACTAAGGCAGTGAGAATGGAGAAAAATGGTCTAATGTTTCGACAGAATCGATAGGACTTGGCCTTTGATGGATATTGGAGCACCAGTAAGAAACGGCAAAGGTTACTCAGTGACTTCAAGTCCATTCACCAGAAAACAGGGAATAGATGCAGAAGAGGCAAGACTGACTGATGTTATTTGAGGGATAAGAGCTCTGAAACTCCAGGAGGTTATCAAATTGCCCACAGGTGTTTGGAAATGCAAGTGGCGGAGGAGAGGAGTGAGATCAAAACAGGAGCCATAGAAATTACAATAAAGAGATTATTTTGTATTCTTTGTACAACTCAAATAGTTGGCACCAGTAAAGTCTCAAATCATTAAGAACATAAGAAGCTTAAATATCTAAGAATGCAAGAAGCATCACTGCAGTGTCTCAAATACAAAGTTGTTTACTTCTGTGGTGAAACTCATAAGTAATTTAAACACCACTGCTCTTACTAAAGCCAAGGGGGAATGAAGCAATTTGTCAATGAAAATATAGCTTGAGTTGCCACAGAACTTAACAAAATAGCAGTTTTGTGACTTCCAGAAAACAACAACTTTCTTAAATAAGGTCAATATAACCTCATAACAATGAGGAATAAAAATAATAGTAGATAATACTGGAAATTCTTGTGGAAGAATACATTTAGCATCAAGAGGTTACAAGGAAGATAAACGAGAAAAGCACCACAAACAAGTTCTCAGGCTGATCAATGTTTTCTATTGGGCTTGCATTGCTGGAGAGTAAAACGTACTATATGGCAATGGAAGTTTGCATTAAAACACCAAAAACAAACTTCCCCAGAGGATGCTATTAAGATCAGTGGGCAAGCATGGCTCCTTTCCAATCCAGGAAGAACATTACCACATGGGATTTTACCATATAAATAGGTGAAATACATTTAAACATATAACACAGATCGCCTTTTTTGCAACCTGAACAAAAACGCAAATCCTAAAATTGAAGTAAAAATAGGAGAGGAAGAAATCAAATTATTTTTGGTGAAGAGACAACTCTGAAAATAACCCAATCTATTCAGATATCTTAAATGATAAAAGCCTATTATTATGTAATAAGTCCTGGTGTAGCACTGTCGGATAAGTACTGGACTGCTAATTGGAAGGTTGACAGATCAAACCTACTAGCTGTTCCTCAGAAATCCTAGACAGGATAGCTATGAGTAGGAACTGACTTGATGGCACTTAACAACAACAACAGCAACAAATAATAAGTACTGGGCTGCTAATCACAAGGTTAGTGATAGAAACTTAACAATTGTTCCTCAGAAACCCTATGCTGTTGTTATTGTTAAGTGCCCTCAATTGGTTCCAACTCATAACGACCCTGTATAGGGTTTCCAAGGCTGTAAATCTTTGCAGGAACAGAAAACCTCATCTTTCTCCTGCGGTGCGAACTGCTGACCTTGTGTTAACAGGGCAGTTCATACTCCATTACACTACCTCAGAAATCCTATATATGATTGCTATAGTCAGAATTGATTTGATGGCAGTAACCAACAACAATAAGCTTGTTTTGTTGTTATGAAGTGCCATCGAGTTGATTTTGGCTCATAGCGACCCTGTATAGTGTTTCTGAGGAACGACTGGTGAGCTTGAAGCACTGACCTTACAGTTCAAAGTAACTTTGCAATCCAGCACATTCACCCACAGTGCCACACTAGGACTCCAATAAGTTGTTTAATCATCACTAAACATAAAACAAACTATATGTGAGTCAAAGGCAAATTTCTATTCTTCTAGAGATTATTGTCTCAAAATAACAGCTGCACAGATTGGTAGTAATTAGCATATTCTTACAACATGTAAATAATATAAGATCTTGTTTTTAGTAAATTACTTGTTTTTAGTGAAAATCAGATATGTGACTTAACTTAAATATCTTTTGAGATATCTATGCAGGATCTCTGCTATCACTCTCAGAAAAGAATAGTTACATTTTTTATTCAGGAATCAATCTCTACATGGCATATGCCCAGTGCAGTGAGACAAGTTGAATATGTTAATAGTCTCCAAATGAGAAAATACAAAGGAAAAAAAAGCTAAGTGATGAGTGTGAGGCTGTGGGATAAAGCACTAGATCGTAAGGTCGGTTTAAACCACAAGGTTGATCTTTCAAACTCACCAGCCACTCCTTGGAAACCCTGTACAGGGTTGCTATAAGTCAGAACTGACTCGATGGCACTTAACAACAAGTTAGTTACAGATCCCAGTGTTCTTTCCTCTAGCCTTCACTTCCAAAGGTCAATCATCTCCATTATCAACCTCAATGAAAACTGAATCAACACCAGACAGCAGAGGTGACAGCAAGCAGTTAAGAGAAGACAAAGTTAAAACTCTCTTTAAAATTTTAATGAAATAATTCAAAGGCAAATTAAACAACCATTTGCTACTCATGAACATCATTCCATAATTCAAAATTATAATCAACATATCTAAAATCTATGCAACTTTCTACAAATGTAACATTGCCCTATCTGAGAACATTCTCCCATTATAATACTTTCAGCATCTTACCTGATCAAAAAGATCAGTACCATCTGATCCTGCTGCTTTCATTAGTTCATCTTCTCCACCAGGATGATACTCCATATATGGACTGACATTATAAACAAACCCTGTATCAAAGAAAGGAGAAATAATATTCTAAATCAACTTCTTAAAAACTATATAAATTCAATAAATCTTTCCAAATACAAGCTGTTTAACAATCATTATTATTTTGAAATATTAGGAACTGTCAAGGTTCTGAGATTTTACTGTAATTGCAAGTTAACAGGTTAATGTGCCACAGTGTCATTACTGCAGGCAGAATAATTGAGACTTCTAGTTCAGAGACAAGGAGCAGTACTATTCACAGCAATAGCAGTAGCTAGAATATCAGCCCACCACTAGTTTTTCAGTTTGCCATACTGTGGTGGCTTGTGTGTTGCTATGATTCTGGAAGCTATACCACCACTTTTTAAAGTACTAGTAAGTTCATTCAGGAGTCCTAGTGTGATGCTGTGGGTTAATGCGCTGAACTGCAAAGTTGGTTCCAGCCCACCAGCCACTCCTATGAAACCCTATACTGGGTCACTATGGGTTGAAGTCAACAACAACAACAATAACAACTATGTCATCCACGTGGATAAGCTTCACATGCACTTCCAGACTAAGACAGACTAGGAACCACATACTGAGTCACTGAGAATCTTATAAACATCAGTGGAACGCTGTCAGATAGCACCAGAATATTGAATACTGAAACATCATGAAGAGCATCAGAATATTGTCAGCTATAGTGCCAGAAAATGAATCCCTCAGGTTGACAGGCACTCAGAATATGACTGTGGAAGAGCAGCTTCCTCAAAGTAAACTTAACCATGATGACAATGGAATTATGCTTTCAGGACCTCCATTTGCAAATGAGTCAAAACAAATAATCAGTAGAAATAGCTGTAAACATACATTAGTATTCAGAACATGGAATGTACAAATTATGAATCTGGGAAAATTGGAAGTTGTCAAAAGTGAAATGGAACACATAAATATTGATAATCTAGACATTAGTGAGTTGAAATGGATTGGTACTGGCCATTTTGAATCTGACATCCACATGGTTTACTGAGACAGGAATGACAAATTGAAGAGGAATGGCATTGCATGCATCATCAAAAAGAGCATTTCAAGATTTATCATGAAGTATAATGCTGTATGTAATAGGACAATATTGATACATTTACAAGGAAGACCAGTTAATACAACTATTATTCAAACTTATGAATCATCCAATAAAGTCATTTCTGATGAAATTGAAGAAGTCTATCAACTTCCTCAGTCTGAAATTGATCAAGCACGCAATCACGATGTATTGATAATTACATTGATTGGAATGTAAAGGATAGAAACAAAGAGAGACCAGTCATTGGAAAATATGGCCTGGTGATAGAAACGATGCAGGAGATCGTATGATAGAATTTTGCAAGGCCAAAGACTTCTTCACTGCAAATACCTTTTGAACAACATAAAAGGCAACTATACACATGGACCTCATCAGATAGATTACACAGAAATCAAACTGACTACATCTGTAGATAGAGAGGGTAGAAGGTGAGGGGCAAACTGTGAAACAGATGATCAATTACTCATATTCAAGTTTAAGCTGAAGCTTAAGAAAATTAAAACAAGTCTGTGAGAGTCAAAATTTGACATTGAACATGTCCCAAATGAATTTAGAGATCATCTAAAGAACAGATTTGATGAATTATGTCGAAGACCAGAAGACTTGTGGGATGGCATCAAGAACATAATACAGGAAGCAATCAAAAGGCCATTAGGAAGGCGAAAAAGACCCAAATGGATGTTAGAAGAGATTCTGAAATTTGTTCTCCAGCATACAGATGCTAAAACAAATGGAAGAAATGAGGAGGTAAACGGCTAAATAGAAAAATTTCAAACGTCGCCTCAAGAAGACAAAATAAAAAATTACTATGAAATATGTTAAGATCTGGAGTTAGAAAACTTAAAGGGAAGAACACGTTCAGCAATCTTAGGATGAAATAACTGAATTAAAAATTCAAGCCTCGTCTTTCAATATTGAAGGATTCTATGGGCAAAATATTGAATGATGCAGAATGCATCAATAGAAGATGGAAGGAATACACAGTTACTGTACCAAAAAGAAATGGTCGATGTTCATCTATTTCAAGAGGTAGCATATGATCAAGATGGTACTGAAGGAAGAAGTGAACTTAAGGCATTGGCAAAGAACAAGGCACCAAGAATCCATGAAATCTTTCACAAAACTGATGCAGCACTGGAGGCATTCATTCATCTATGTCAAGAAATTTGTAAGACAGCAGCCTGGCCAACTCATTGGAAGAGATCCATATCTGTGCCCATTCCAGAGAGGTGACCCAACAGAATGCGGAAATTATCAGACAGTATCATTATATCGCATGCAAATAAAATTTTGCTAAATATAATTCAAAAATGGCTGCAACAGTACATTGACAGGGAAATGCCAGAAGTTCAATCAGGATTCAGACAAGGACGTGGAATGAGGGATATCATTGCTGACATCAGGATGATCTTGGCTGAAAGCACGCAATACCAGAAAGATCTTTACTTGTGCTTTATTGACTACACAAAGGCTTTTGATTGTGTGGATCATGACTAGCTATGGACAACATTGTAAAGAATGAGTTTTCTGGAGTACTTTATTGTGCTCATGAGGAACCTATACATAGCCCAAGAGGCAATCATTGGGACACAGCAAGGGAACACTGAATGGTTTAAAATTAGGAAAGGTGTGTGCCAGGGTTGCATTCTTTCACCATATTATTCATTCTGTATACTGAGCAAATAATTCAAGAAGCTTGATTATATGAAGAAAAACACAGCATCAGGGTTGGAGGAAAACTCATTAACAATCTATGATATGCAGATGATACAACCTTGCTTGCTGAAAGTGAAGAGGACTTAAAATACCTACTGATAAAAATTAAAGACCACAGCCTCAGTATGGGTTGCACCTCACTAAAGAAAACAAAAATCCTCACTACTGGACCAATAAATAAAATCAAGATAAATGGAAAAAAGATTGCAGTTGTCAAATACTTCATTTTGCTTGGATCAACCATCGACAGTCATGAAAACAGCAGTAAAGAAATCAAATGACATACTGCATTAGGCAAATCTACTGCACAAGACCTCTTTAAAGTATTCAAGAACAAAGATGTGAGTTTGAGAACTAAGGTACATTTGACCCAAGCCGTGGTATTTTCATAGTCTCATATACATGTGAAAGCTGTACAGTGAATAAAGACAAATGTAGAAAAAGTGTTGCATTTGAGTTATGGTGTTATAGGAGAACATTAAATGTACCATGGACCACTAAAAGAACAAACAAATCTGGTGGGCTTGAACTGCTGACCTTGGCATTAACAGTCCAGTATTTATCTTACAGCATCACACCAGGACCCCAAAATAATACATAGTGGTTTATTATTTTTTAATTAAATTAGAATTTTTTTAAACTTCTTAAGTTTAAAAATTACTAAGAGTTTATAAACAACTAAGAGGTAAATTTCAGCATAGATATAACCTTCACAAAGAAATTGGGGTCCTCAATAAATATTTACTGTTGTTGTTGCGAAGTACAATCCAGTCAGTTCCAACTGATAGTGACCCTGTGTAGGGTTTTCAAGGAGCAGTTGGTGAGTTTGAATCACCAACCCTGCAGTTCAAGCCTATTTTGCAGTCCAATGCTTATTCCACAGCTCCACACCAGGACTCCCAATAAATTTTTAGAGTTAAGGAATTCTGAGATCACTTCTATAAGTACAGTGGCAATTTTGTAATCAAATTAAAAAATAATTTGGTTTAAAATTCATATTCATACCAGATTTAACTCATTCTATATTCATTTAATAAAAATTTAATGCCTAAATTGTACGTATCAGGTGATATGCCACAGTTCCACAATATTCCCACTTACCTCACCCATTCATCACTGTTTATTTTGTATGCTCTGTTTAAATAAATACTGGAAGCCCTGGTGGTTCAGCTGGTTAAGTGTTGGGCTGCTGAGCAGAAGGTCAGAAGTCCAAACTCACCAGCTGCTCCATGGGAGGAGAAAAGAAGATAAAGCTGTCTGCTTCCATGAAGATCTGAGAGCAGCCTTGGAAACTCTAGGGCGTAATTCTACTCTGCCCTCTAGGGCTACTATGAGTTGGAAACAACTTAAGAGCAGTGGGTTTTGGGTTCTTATTCAAATAACTGAAGAAAAAACTATGTTCACACAGAAAACTCATGGAGTATTCATTAACAGCATTGCAAAGGTCTTTTTGTGCAAGTATTGTGGCTACTTTGCCATCTTGTGTTCAGAAAAGAAACTGCACGTTATTATTTTATGTCAACTGATTTTTATCTGGAGTCCTGGTGTGGCGCTGCGGGTTAATGTGCTGGACTGCAAGCTCGGTTTGAAGGACAAGGTCAGCAGTCAAAGCTCACCAGTCACTCCTCAGAAACTCTACACAGAGTTGCTGTGAGTCTGAATGGACTCAAAGGCACTTAACATTGTATCAACTGCTGAGAGGGGAAGTTAAATACCCAGCTGTGATTGTAGGTTTACTTCTAGCCTTCAATTTTATTAATGTATGCTTCATGTATTTTAAAACTTTGTTAGCAGGTATACACAGCAGTCTTATCAATGAACAAAGTTTTAAAAAATTTTCATTGTAACATTAAAAAAAAGGAAAGAAAGAAATGAGGATGTAAAACAATGCAAAACAAGCAATGGCACAAGATTATAGAGGCAGCTAGTAAGGAAGACCTGGAAAGCGCACAGAAAGGCACTAGCTTTAGAAGAGGAATATCTTAGAAAAAACATCTTTGGTGCACTAAAAAGAGAAGAAGGACAACATATATCACTAACCTTAAACTCCCTCTACTCAATGTGTGCCCTATGTGTATATGATCTCTGTCTTTCTCACACATACCCAACACCCACTCTTCGCACATGCTTTTTCCTGGGGCCAGGAATGTAGTTCTCATTCCTCTTTGCCTAGGAACTACAATTTATCTTACAGAGCCCAGGTCATTCTTTTGCAATCTTCACCCTTAGCAGAGTATA